TCACAAGAGAGTGATCAACAAGATCAACAACACGAACTTGTGCAAGAGAGGCAGACATTCCACAAGGCCGGATGGCAGGTGGTTCCATATACGAATTGTCTTCGAGAAAAAGAATTCCCAAAACATTTAGTGCAGCGGGAATATTCATTCTTTAATTTACCATGGTGTGAACGGGTGGCTCTGCTGGACACTGGCTCTATGTGCGTTTATACCAAGTACATAACAAAATAGCAGGTGCATTACATTATTCAGCCGTGTTGGCACCACCTTTGTAGACATTCTAAGCCCGTTTTCTTTATCTATTTTTTCCAAGCACTCGCAGAAGTGCGCCAGCTAGAACTATATACAGACCTAACCACTTTGACTTGGGTGAGTTGGTGCATAATTAGATAGGCTTCAGCGCAATTTAGACGAGGACGAATGAAGACACACAGAATACAGACCAGCGCTCGTCTGTGTTCTGTGTGTCTCCTATGGTCTTCATCTAAATTGCGCTGAAGCCTATCTAATTATCTAACAACTTTGTTTTGGACTTATCAAGTGTTTTTATGTTGCTTGGTGTATCGATCCTAAGCTGTCGATGCACATTATAGCACAGGATAATTCAAGGCTTCATACACATTAATTTCACTGCATGAATACATTCTCGCGAATTTCTTTTTCAGAAATCAAGTTTCTGCATAGCTCTCCTTAGAATTCTTGACATATGGTCATGCCATCTCAGCTCTGACGTCAATTGTCACCCCGAAGGATTTATATCTGTTTACAACAGCGAAAGAGTGGCCGCTATGCAGTATGAGAAACTTAACGGCTGTCGTTTGCGTGTCACAGGGACCGCAAGTGATTTTTCACAATTATTTTCATTTGCCAGTATATATGCATCTCAATGCAGTCTGTTCTAAAGTCTTGTTAAGTTGAGCCTCATCACTAGGGTTCTGTATGCTGCGTTAGATTATGCAGTCGTCCGCATGGGGCTTAATTTTAACAAATATAACTACAGCATTATGAAGTATTGAAAAGTACAAGATCCCCAGCACACACTCATACGGAATGCCCGATTTAACAGGTACATGATCTGAGCACTCGTCGTCAGCGCTGGCGCGCTGGGTTCGATTGTATAGATGAGCTTCAATTCATGCAAGGAGTAAATCACCGTTAAATGCTAAGCATTTCTCTGCGTACTGTGTATCTATCTATCTATCCGCCTACGTCTGGGCGCTCTCGTAATGACCCCTTTAACTTGGAATGAACCTAGTATGGGAGAGCAAGAGGGTTCGAAGAATATCACTGTCCGGTGATGACAAATAATGTGACAGTCTCGTCATGTACTACGGTCAAACCCTTTCCTCCAGGCACGTGTGGCGTATACCTGTATGCGAATATGCGCAACGAATGTTTGAGAGTTCATATCAACTTAGGAACGGTGATAACAGACATTAGTAATTTAAATACGAGCGCGTTAAGAAAAACCCACATTGTCAGCGTTCACCCGACGAATTTAAAATATATATATATATATATGTTATGGTCCCAGCAGAAATATAACCCGAGGCATCCTGCGCGGCAATCAAGTATTCCACCACAGAGCCGCACCATGTATCTGGGCTCCTGTGGTAAAAAAGCCTACGCAGGCGTAATGTTGGTGCAATGTCAAATGTGGTTGCAATAGTGCCCGTCTAATTTTGCAAACATTACATATGGACTCCAATGTTACAGAAATCACGCTGTATTAGCGTCAACTGTAGTTAAGACCATTAACTGAAGTTATGATAATAGCCCTATCCTGGGCTACCATCCTCAGAAGCACACGTGCTTCAATTCAGGGTACTGCTTCTGGTGTTGGAGTACCCATGTTACTCTTAGCATTGTCACGCAATTGTAAACAACTGGTTCTACAAAACATACGTGACTGTTCAACATGGATGCCTGTTGATTGATTGATTGATTGATATGTGGGGTTTAACGTCCCAAAACCACTATATGATTATGAGAGACGCCGTAGTGGAGGGCTCCGGAAATTTAGACCACCTGGGGTTCTTTAACGTGCACCCAAATCTGAGCACACGGGCCTACAACATTTCCGCCTCCATCGGAAATGCAGCCGCCGCAGCCGGGATTCGAACCCGCGCCCTGCGGGTCAGCAGCCGAGTACCTTAGCCACTAGACCACCGCGGCGGGGCAACATGGATGCCTGTGCGTACAACATTTGTGCATGTTTAGCGTCATTTCATAGCGTCTCACTCAACGAAAATTCAAACCGCAATCATCTTCCGTCCGTGTGTTCTGCATGAAATCGATTGCCACGATACGTGGGATATGCTGAATTTTTTACAGTGGTTTTAGTTTTAATGAAGTTTAAAGTGTAAGACGCAATGAGAATATTTCACGAAAAAGATAATTTCAATACGCTTTGCTGATCAGTAACAGCTGAAGAATCATGAATTAGCTCCACGAGTGCTGTCATGGTTGAAAATTTTTTTTCTAAATAGTTGTTGCCAGTTATTGAGGATTTTTATATTCAAGAAACGTTAAAATATGTTTGAAAGGTGCCCAGGTGTATTCCTTTTCTACATCAATTTTCGCACACCTCAGTTAGGTTAAAAGCAATATACTGAAAGCAACATGGAACATTTACGCAACAATTATGTGGGCCTGTAAGATGAAACGGAAAAGGAACATTCTGCTTTAGAAATCAGTCCAACTTTTCTGCATTTCCAGTCAAAGATAACGCTGCTTTAAATAGTGACACGTTCGACATAATGAGCAGCATCGACTGGTTGCGTAGGCGGTCCAAATATTCAGCCTTTAGTTAGTGGCTGAAATAAAGGTCTGTTACTACTACTACTATAGGCAGGTATTTACTGCACCATGTGGCATACCTGACTAGGAAGGCAGTAGGTATGCTGTCAGTACGTGCAAATTTTTAGTATCGATATTGTGCAGAAGTGACAGAATGCCCTGCTGGGATACGATAACGTTATCAATTTGCTGGCCTTGGAATACTGAAAGGAAGTGAGGCGTTCTGCCGTCATTATTAGTGAATACCGAAGAAAAAGATTCATTAAATTTTGTTGCAATTTGCGATTGTTACGTTTTTGTTTTGTCATTTGTATGTTGTTTCCTTTCTAGGCGACAACGCCCGATAGAAATTTTCCAGTGCTATTTCGTACTATCTGAGTAAAACCACAATTCTGTTAACCATGCGATGTGTCGTTTATGTGTAAAGAGGATCCTTCCAGTTCAGCCATATTATTGACGTTGTTCCGAGTATTTACCTGGTTTAGCTGGTTACATACGAGCGGTCTACTATAAGGGGGCGTAGTTCACGAAATACGCTTATCCTGTTGGTGAGGTGACAACTGCATTTGCGCCTTCTTTCCATTGAAATACGTCATTGTCTATCCTAAGTTTATCGTATGTGAACCTGACTTTCTCGCAATTCTTTTTGTTGGCAGCTGCACTGTTCCGCAGTTGTCGTCTTTCGTTTCTGATGTTCACGGAAAAAGCCCTCGGAGACATATACGCCTTTTTTTTTTAGCTTGAAACTGTTCTTCAGAATATTTATTTTCTATTCTTGGCTTTGTCTTTGCGCTACGATTTTAGACTCCGCGTAAGTAGGGTATGGCTTAGCATATTCATAGTATTTTTTTTTTGTAACTGCTCCCGCTTCAATATTACACGCAGTTTTCTATATTATTTTCAAGCTCCCTGAATATGTGAGATTGCTGAAAAGTTGAGCTAGGAAAGTGAGTTTATAAAATTTCGTGATCATATAATTCATTGTGTTCTTGAATCTATGCAGTGATCCCCTGATTACACAAAACTTAATCAAGTGTTTCTGTGTGACTAGGAGACCGGTTCCTATGTGGCCCACCATAGCAGTGCATTGAGCCTGCTGGTACATCATAATAAAAAACGCTGCGTGTTGCAATGCGGGAGCAGAAAAAGCGAGACAAAAAGACCACGAACTTCAAACCGATCGTTAACTTGACTCTATTTTCATTATCTTTCGCTGTGTGGTACGCCGTATTTAGTTTAATTAGTTTGGATTACTTAATAAGCACCTGTATTTATGCACACGGGTGCCTTGAGCATTCCACAGTGTCTAAACATGGCCACCGTGGCCGGGATTTGAACCAGTGGCCTCGATCTTTTCAGGACAACAGTTTAGCAGCTTAGTCACCAAGGCGAGTTGTATTACGTCATAGTGCACTGCGCATAAGCAGTTGGAACACACGCGCGCTCTATGTAAAGTGTATGTGGACGTTCCAAGGAAAACAACAGCGCTATTCTTTAACTGCAATCCTAAATTCTATACGGCACAGAAATAATAGCAATCAATAGTCTCTGCACGACGAGCCCGGTTCCAAGCGTTATAAAAACAATGCGAGATGGCTGGCAGTCCCGACGCGTGGTGGATAAGCAATTGGGGTACGTGTTTAGACCCCGAAGCACCGAACTGTTATACTTCGCTTTGTTTTCACAAGCGTCTCTCTGGGCGCGCAAGGCAACATGCGCACGGTGTATGCGAACTTCGGGCGACTGTGGTGAAGTCATGTTTACTTCTACAAGCTAGATAAAAGATTCAGATAGCCGCCAGCCTTTATGTTGTCATGCTCCTTTTCTCTGTTCGCATCACAGTGTATTTGGAACATTTCAAGTCCTCGTAGCAGCGATCGGCGCCTCAAGTTCAGTTAGCGCAACTGCTGACGTGGACGCTACCCTTCCGTGGCGGTAAATACTCGTACAACAAAAGCGAAAGTGAAGCCGACAGCTTTCCCAGCGAGAGTCGAAACCGCGTGCTGGGAGAAAACAAATAGAAAACCAGGAGAGAAGATGCGAAAGAGGAGGACATTGGGAAGCGGGAGGGAAACAGTTAGGGTCACGTGACTGAAGCGGCTGTCTGTCTCGCGCTTTCTCTCTCTCTCTCGACACGCGCGAGGCGTAACACTCTCTCTCACTCACTCTCTCCCTTCGCAGACTCGAGCGCCGGAGTTTCTGGACCCCGACGAGTACGACCGAGAGGCACGACCGGCACGCGGTGCCGGAGTCGAGCGGCAGACGCCACGAAGTGCGCACGCCTTGCTGCGACCACGACTCGCCACAGCTGCTGCCGTAGCCAGCGGCTATATACAAGCTGGGAGGACCGAGTGCTGTTGCTCGCCGCGACTGCCAGCAGGCAGAAGCGAACAACCACGCACACAGTCGAGTCGTCGGCCGCGAACTTTTCAGGAGGTGTCTCTTCCACGCATCATCGCTGACGGACAAGCGCCGACCGGACAGCTGCTTTTGATGTCGCCGGTGCACGACGCGGGCGACGCGTGAAGTGACAGTCATGAAGTGGCAAGACGGCGGAAGAAAAGACTCGACGGTGCGGTGGCTTCTCCTGTGCGCTTCCTGCCTTGCAGTGCAACTGCTATGCAGCGTGCTGCCCACGGCCCGAGCACTGGATGCCGGGTGAGTCGCCGGTCAATGGCTTCTCCGCAATACAGTGGTCGCGATTCCCTTTGAGACAACGTACGTAGTTTGCAGGGAGTTGCGTTTGCGAAACCCATTAACAGGCCGCTTATTTTAAAGAAAAAAAAAGTTAGAAACGCTCGTTGAAGTCTGTATACCACGGGGTTAGAAATGTCAAGAGCAACACTGACTTTATAACTGGTACTGGTTACAGGATTTTATGGAACTTGCAGACTTCTTGATACATATTGTTTTACAGAATTTTTTCTTCAGTCATTCGTCTCTGAGATTGTCAGTGCACCACGTTGCATGCAGCCTAACATTCGTTTATCGTCAATCTATAAAGTATACGAACACTACTACGGCTAGCTCATCGCACCCACTACATTATTTGTCGTGACCTATGTAACTTTTACATTAGATTACATTATCGAGAGCTCACAGGTGTGTCGCTTGAGCTAAAGGATAACGATAATTTACCCGGGTACAGTTTTTGATGGCCGACTTGCTGCAAAGTGCGTAGATAAGAACTTCCAAGCATCGCTCGCGTATGCTTTCTGCTCAAGCGTTTACATTGTAGACGGGAACGCTGAAATATGTCATGTCTTGTCCCAGCTGGTCAAGCAAAAAATTACAACAGCTTTATACAGACATCTCTTAGCTTCTTGAAGTGCACGGGTGAAAAAAGAAATAAAGAATTAAAAAAAAACATCCACTTAGTGCTGTAGTATACGTGGGTGATCTTTATATATTTGTTTGCTGAACAAAATGTGAAAAGTCCTATCTATTGTAGACGATGTTGCTGACCGAGGACTACAAAGGTTCAAAGAATGATGCTGACAGAGTTCGCGCTGTCGCAAAACAACTGCTGCAAACTAAGTCGGCCTTCCACCAGCTGTAATATAGCGTTGAAAAGAAAAATTATTCGGGACGACCTGCAGGTCATATAACGGTTTGTCTATTCAAGATTTACAGCGCTGCAGATATGTCGTTTTTTAGGCTATTGAAGGGAAACTTACGCTGAAACGAATCATGCAAGCATCTGCACATCGTTCACGTTTGAGTAAATGCGCACGTATGCGGTTTTCATAGTCCGTAACCCATTCGTGACTTGGCAAATTATACCACCACATGGCCTGAAGATCACTTGCGGTGCGCTGGTATTGGACTATTTTGTGTGTTTAGTTGGACGCAATCGATTGTAACTTATTCTTTTTCTTGAAGAATATTCTTTCTCTTAAAGAGGCCCTCTCGTGCCTCGACGTGCTGTCATGAGAACTGCAAAGAACAATCGTGAAGCTCATCACAGTTGTTGAGGTGACGGCGGTGACGAAAATAATAGTGGCGTACAGATAGACGCCTGTGTTTTAGAATTCATCGTCAATTTTTTTATAGATCCATGCCAGTGAGCATCAATCAATTCAGGTAAACTTATTCTGACAATCTAAACTAGGCCTTTCTTCATTTTTGGCACTTGAACTTGTATTGAGGAGTAGCATAGTTTAGTGTTTTGGTTGATATAGACAGCCCGAGGTTCTTTAACGCGAATTTAAACTCAAATACAAAGCAGTTTCCAACTCGGCTGCCACCGAAACGCGGCCGGCAATCAAGCACGTCGCAGCGTGACGTCATAGCTGCTAAACTACCAAGGCGGGTAGCTAAAAAAATTAAAACTACGTATTAGGAACCTTTGCATAGCAGAAATCTGAAACTATCGACGGTGTGGATTTGGGACGAAGGTAGTTAGTTCGAGCCCTATAAGCTGGTGCGGCAGCTATTCGATGGTGGCGAAATTCAAAAATGTTCATGCAGTTGGCTTTTGCTGAGTGCATGAACCCTTTGGATTTAATCCAGGCTAGCTTCTCCAAATTATAACAGAACTTATTCAGCGTGAATTTGGAGCTTGTGGAGTCGGAACTCCTCATTCTGGAGTCAGAACCCTCGGAGCCTGTGAATGAGTTATTATTCGAGCTGGCCAGTGCAATAAATAAATGAATAAGTAAATAAACAAACAAAACAAAAACAAATAAACAAGAAAATGAAGTCTTGGTTTCGTATACCTTTTTTTATGGTGATAGAAAATAAAGTTAATTACTTTTTTTATGCGTGTAATGACTCCGTTTTACGCTATGCCATGACAGCAATATAGTTTCTTCTCATATGTAATTCATGATATATTTCGTGGCCATTTACCTAAATACAGTGTTATCGTTTACTCCTGTTAAAATTGACTTTCTCTCCTTTCTAATTTTTGGCGGACAGTTATTGGGCAGTGAGTAGAGCGCTTCCAACAACAATACCAGCGCCGATGTTACTCGAAAAAAAAAAGATTTTTGCAGGAAACTTTCACGTTCATGTCTTGTGAAAAAATATGTACTGCGCACCACGTGTTCTTGCCGCGAACACTGTCCCACGGGCGTTTGTTCGCATAAATCTGAACAGCTCTATCTGGTTGGACAGGTACATATAAATTTCGGTTTTGCAGTATACAAAAAAAAAACTGAAAACAAGGTTTGTTAGAAAAACCTTCTTATGTCGCCACACCTGCAGAATAAGTAAAAAATATTTTTTTTGTTAAAACATGCGTCCGCTTAGCAGCATGCGCGTAGCAGAAAACCGAAGGTGGTACATTTCACGTGTAGCAGTGGGTGGCTCTTGGTGAAAATCAATACCTCGGGTTGGATTACAAACAATTCAAAGGCCAGTCATTAAAGTTCCTTTATTCTTTAACAACTGAATGAAATGATTTCATCCAAGTTGTTCTGCAGTCCATGCAACATAAAGAAAACCAAATGTTTTTCTTTTCTCTGTCGCCGCACCTAGTGGGCCGTAGGAATATTACTTCCCACCAAGTGCTCACGCAAATGTTGCATGCTAACACCGTGATTTTTCGTGGAGGACATTCGCAATTATATCTAGCGAAAAAAAAAAACACCTCCGTAGACCACCGATTGAAATTCGTTTAACGTTGTGGATAAATAACAAGTACAAGAACGTGGAGCGTGCTGAAACGCACAGAGCTCAAAATATTATCGTCAAATCGTTGAGAACCATTTATATAATGACTTTACGTTAGTGCCAAGACAAGTCAATCTACACGTTTCCGCACTTAGGTTGTTGATAGTTTGCGGCACCTGTGTTTCCGTGTTTTTTACTGCCGTGTTCGCCGTTAACGCTAAACGTTACACGTACTAATGGCACACGAACAGGTTCGAGTAGCAGCCTTAGTGAACCCCTACTGCGTGTTTCAAAGATTTACCCGTGCTAAAAAAAAAAAAAAACGTTTCTGCGTGTCCATTCTGGCTATATATCGGCAAAAAATATGGAGCTGGCACTGACTCACTTACGATATATATTGCGTTCAGGGCTCACTCGGGCACAACCTCTCCAATCTTTTTCTCAACTGGGCTCACTCGGACTCGGGCTCCATAAATATTTTTTCACGTGGACTCACGGATTCATGATACTGCAACACTTTGTTTACGAAAAGGAAAAAAAGAAGGAGTGGCGAATGTAAAGAGTGGTTTCTCCATTCCAAGACACCAGTGGCCGCTGTAGCTCGCCCGGCTTGATCCAGGAGACCCCCTTGGGTCTTCAGGTCAGGCCGGGCGAGGACAGCCTCCGAAGGCTCCTCCACTATAGTGTATCAGAGGCGGCTGTACCTCCATAGGCTTCTGAGTCTGAATGAATCACTGGAATCGTCGCGCGAATTAGTTTGCCCATGTATGATTCTGACTGATTAGTGATAGTCTAACCGAGTTCTCAAGCCCCCCTCCATTCCTTTAATTCATTTCTAGTCTGACACATCTTTAGAAGTCCGCAGTGATGGATGAACCCAAGCCTGCACCAATTGGCGCACACTCTAGAACGACGTCATGAGCCTGACGGCCAGTGACCCCGCCTTCAAAAAAAAAAAAAGAAAACAGCTGAGTGCACTAGCAGGAATATTTCATCTGTCGCAACAAGGGATCGGCTGCTGCTCTTCGGTCATCTATATGTCAGCCCTCTCCATATATATACTGAAATATTTATTGCAAAAAAGAGAAAAAAAAGTACAGGGAGCGCGCGTGTGGGGTCCTTATTCTAGTGCTCCACTGGCTTGAGCGGCCCGCTGGGCCTGGTCGAGGAACGCGAGTTGCACCCCCAGATCCTCGCTGGTGAGCGGAGTCTCCCACTGCTCCCTTCCGTAAATCTTGCCGGCTATTTGGGGCGTGTTAATTTTGGTTCGCCTATTCTGGCAATCCCACGTTATGTGGGCGAGAGTGGACCTGCCTCCGCAGCAAGGACAGCTATCGCTGTACATTGCGGGGTGAATGGCATGTTTCCACGGAACATTGGGATATGTGTGTTTTTGTATACGACGCTAGTCATAGGAGTTCCGCCCGGTTAGAGCGAAGTGGGGTGCACGGTACTTTCGTCGCTTAAGGCGTTGGTACTCGAGGATGTCTCGCGGTAAGGAGGGCTTTTCATCAGAGTGGTCGGCCGCTCGGTTGGCAAAACCACGAGCTGCGCCGTCCACTCTCTCAATTCAATCGAGTCCTGCGCGACCCGGGCATCAGATGACCACATGGTCCTTCGTTAGGTCCGGTGCTAATAGGCGAATGGTGTTGTATGGTAGTGTTTGGGTGAAAAAGAGTGTACATGCGGTCATGGAATCGGTCAAAATAAGGGACGACTATTCCAGGATACCCTTAGTTTCAATCGCAAGCCTGATGGCTAAAGCTTCAGCGGTATTCACGGACACAACTCGAGCAGTAGCGCAAGTCAGAAGGCCTAGACACGTATCCACTCCTACGACTGCGAACGCGTACTTCGTGTAGCATCGGGTGACATCTGTGTACGCCGTGTCCGGGTTGTTCCCGAATTGCCGCTGTAACTTGCGAGTCCGTGCACTTCTACGACCTTTGTGACATTGTGGGCTCAGGTTTTCGGGACAAAGGCTACGAGAATTTTTTCACGTAACTGTTTAGACATGGAGTCCAGTTCTTCTATACTGAGGA